TTATTTATGAAAATGGTATTTTAAAATCGGGTGTAGGTGTAATTTCCTCTTTTTTTTTATTGAAAGCGGGCCCTATTGTGAGGTAGCAAAACCCTTTCTGCATTTCCTCCAACAATTTAATTACATCATTTCTTTTTTTGTTTTTTTTTAAAGCAAAAATATCTTGCCAACTTTTCTCTCTTTTTGGGATAAATTCTGTTTCTTCAAGAAACAATTATATTTTTGGAGCATAAAAACCATCCGGGAAAAGGTTTGGAATAGCTTCTGGCCAATTAACAATTAGCATATGCTGAAAATATATAAATACAAAGATTTCAAGATATACTTCAAAAATGAGAAACTTGTGAAAAAGCTTGTGAGCACCACATAAGATTAACATATCAAGATCACAACAATAGAGAATGTATGATTATAGTCACGTTCTAGTCACAAATCGCACAAGATCACATTTACAAAGACAAAAGTTATGGATCACAATTATTATTTAGTTGCAAATCACAAATTTTAAGTTGCATATTACCATGTCACAAATTACCCATTTTATTGATTATAATTACTAAACATTTAATAACAATCGTTTCTGTTCCCACCCCACTCCACCCCACCATGACTCTACTACCACTGTCTCTACCCAAACATCGTTGTCACCTCACCAACAACACCACCACCACCAAGCACCAACACTGCCTACAGTGCCACCTAAGTCACCGCCACCACCATAACTACCCACGACATCCACATAAAATCCAAAACCAGCACGGCCCATAGCACCATCACCATCGAACTGATCTATACAGGTACACCATAGGCATCATCCCAAATTGATCCCCTCTATCACAACACTGTAAAATTGGTATCTCTAGGCTTCCTCAAGCACAAGCTCAAATCAAATCCAGATAAAAAAATCAAGCTACCTCTCCACATAGTATTATGAATACATATATACACGTGTCCAAGCATATATAAGTCCCTTTTTATTATATGCAGGAATTGAAACGAATGTTCGATGTTTAGTTAAATATTGATTAGCATCAATCAAGCCTAGCATATCTCTATCTCACATACATAGAGAGGAACAACTCTTTCCCTATATAAACCCTCTAGCTTCATGCAAAACTATATTGCATTCTCATTTCAACTATCACATATTTCCATTGAAGTCCTCTTTCTCTCTCTTCCCCGACATTTTTTGTATATCACACATTTCTTCAATGGAAAGGAATTTGCATAGACAACTTGCTAACATGAAGAAGTCCCTTTTTGATCAGGTATTTCTTAATTACTACTTTCTTAGTATTAATTAAGTGTGGTTCACTAGCCAAAACAAGATCATCCTTTGTTCTAGGTGAACCTTTTCTATTTCTCCCATATTAATTAAAGACTTCTGCATGCGAAACACATTCGTTTTTTGCAAGTTTCTTTATATGTTTGAGAAAGTTCTATGTATAATTGTTTCTCTGTATTTGCATGCATCTCCCTCTCTCTCTCTCTCTCAATATCATACAAACAGTAATATTAGGTGTATCTATACATGAATGTTAGAATGATGCACAATGTTGAAAGAGCATGGTCAATATATTTTTATTTTGTTGTACTGTTGTGTTGTTGAGAATCAAAATAATATGGGACATTGTGCAGGGATATCTAGATCATGAACAATTTACTCAGCTGGAAGAGCTACAGGATGAAGCAAATCCGAATTTCGTGGAAGAAGTTGTTACATTGTACTACAGGGATTCAGCTCGATTAATCCAAAATATAGAGCAAGCTTTGTGAGTAAAATCTTAGTTTCTTTGAATTTCAGTTGCAAGATTTTCTTGTGAGCACTAATTGACTCTGGGGATTTCTCCGTCCCTATATATTGGAAATGCAATTCGGCGCTCATGACGTTTAACAGTTGACTAAAATTGACATCAAAAGCTTCGATTCTTGATTATGAATTTGTATTTCCTTTTTCTTGTCAGGGAGAAGAACCCTCTTGATTTTGCTAAGCTGGACAACTATATGCACCAGTTCAAGGGGAGTAGTTGCAGGTAATTATTAAAAAAATAATAATAAAATAATTATTCCATAATCAAAATAAATCAAGATAGAGATCTAGCAGGTATATTTGTTCATCTTTCAAAATTAACCCTACTAATTTGTGTAATCTATATATGCAGCATTGGAGCCAGAAAGTTGAAAAATGAGTGCACACAATTCATAGAGTACTGCAAAACAGGAAATGGCGAAGGGTAATTAATTTTATATATAATTTACAGTCTAAATCTTAGAGTTAAATGTAGGAAAAATACAGGTTTTGTGGAGAATCCATGGGAATCTTTTCATTAATATAGACTTATTAATGATATTAACTGATTGTTGATGTTTTTACAGATGCAAGAGAACTTTCCAACAATTGAAGAAAGAATATTCTTCTCTTAAAAAGAAATTAGAACATTACTTTCAGGTCCCTTACTTTTCCCTATTTCAAATTAATTCGTGCAACACACCTAAAACACGCTCATGCTCACATGCACAGCTCGAAAAAGAATTGTTTAATCTGAAAAGGTAACGTGCCTCCTTTTTTTTTCTTTACCAGTTTGCAAGACAAGTTGGACCTCTTGAGAAGGCATGTCGCCCAAAGTAAGGAATCTGTGCAGAGGCTGTAATTATGGTGCATGAAAGATGCTATAAAATTGGTGATTATATGTTAATGTAAAATGCACCATTTTCATCACATAATCCTTCTGCAATGCAATAAAACAGAAAAATTTTGGTGGGTGTATGTATTGCCTTTATTTTAAATCTTTTTGCCTATTAGAGAATTTGGAGAGGATGCTGCCATACAATTCAAATACTTAGCTCCTTTTTGACAGCTATTCTTTCAAAACAAACGAGATTTTGAATAGTAAATTTTCAGATAATGTATGGTTAAAAAGTAGGAAAACGTTTTAGGTTTACGTGAAAAATATTTTATTGTAAAAATGTATGGTTGAAATGAAAATGAGAAAACAAAAGGTTTAAAAAAAATGATTGTCAAATAGGGTTTAATGAGTTGATGTGATGTTACAAGTAAAACAAAGGAAGAAAAAAAAAACTGCAGTTATTAATACATTTACTTTCTTGTTTTTAATCAAACTATATGAGTTGAGTATTTATTAATACTAAGTATAAACACATGCGATGCAATTGGTTTTGTAATAGCACTCATGTTGTTGAAATATTTGAACAATAATATAAAGAAATTTGCAATTAAGATAAAATAATGCTTATAACATGCAATATATATAGTCGATGATAGGAAATGGTAGGTGTAATAGAACATTTCAATTATGTTAACATCTCTATAGGACCATCATCATCTACCCATTTTGACATATCGTCAATAATTAAAAAAAGAGTACATGAAATTTGAACCAGAAAGTAAAGTACAATCAACTAATGCGACGTGACTAAGATTCAGTAAAGCCACAATGCAAGCTATTAAATTAAGTTGGGAGGCTTGAAATTTGAAAATAGACCCGCCTACATGTGAGTGGCGTATATTAAAAAATATATTTCTTTATATAAAAATTTAAACTTTTATAACAAGTATTAAAAAAAAAAAAAGTTGGCTTAGCCAATAGAAAAACTTATTCAATAACTCAAGAATTTTTTTTAATAGTCAATTGCGGTACATAAGTTTTAAAAATGGTAATTGGTACAATACCCTCTTAACTTTTATTTGTATTGTGGAATACTCCACTATCTTTTTATTTTGACACAAAATCCCCTTAACTAAATCACTCAAACGTTGTAGAATACAACATTTTCATCAATTTTCCTTGTAAAATGATGAATTTACCTTCATCCATAAATTAATTAATTAATTGCATCCATAACCCCAAAAATTCTAAAAGTGCAAAGTAGTCCTAATTAAAACAATTTTAAAATATTGTTTCTCGTCCTCCTAATTTTCCACCACCACCAGCACCAAAATGCAAATTCACCAGGCTCAAAATGAATTATAATCCCAACACAAGCAAGAATTGCTGTGGTAAAAAACATTTCGTGCATATCAACATCACTCTTTGGAGCAATCCCAACTTAAGCAAGAATTGTAACTAAAATGTTATTCCTTTGGTATGCAACCTCCCCATTTTAAGCCTACTCTACCATGGATTTGCACGTGGCTTGGCTAAATCCTTCTCTTTTATCACTTC